GTGTTTTCCTGTGAATCGTGGGCAGGGTCTGGTCCTTGTGCTGTTAAGTCTGTTGTACCCCCTGATGACAAGCATTGGAATGACCTTGCAATGGAGTTTTATTATACAAGGTAGGACTTCATCTGTCTTCAGTCTTATCTAAATGTTAATTAAAGTTTATTATAATTCTGTTGAGTGTATGGAAGTGTCTGTCTGAAAGTTTCACATACTTAATATCGCTGTCACACAAACGTGTATTAAACAACATTGAAGGATTTTTTAGCAGTGATGTGGAATGACATTTAAACCCTTATAAAATCAAAATTTGCCTCAAATTTGGCTTCATACTTCTGTTTACACATTCTTCCCTCTTCGTTCGTCATCTATCCAAAATGGGTCCAGACCATTTTCTTTACTTTCTTGTAGGCATTGTTCCTTTTATAGGGGAAATACAGGTTTCCCAAGAAAAGGAAATATAAATACTATTATAAAAAAACAAACTGTTCATATAATTGAGTTCTGCAAATTTTATTTTAAACATTAGTGAATGTTAAGCAGAATAGAATTAATTTTTTACTCCTGAATAAATTACAGCTAACCTCTCCACAGTTATTTCATGTATGCACTTATGACCTGCAGCAAGAATAGCTTCACTATTTTAATTGAAACCAGCCTGAAAGTAATAAATGGATCTTGAATGAAAAACATTGGGACCAAAGTGATGGAACTGAAAACTGAGAGGAAGAAAAATTTAAAATCTCTGATCTTGATGTATTACTTTGGACATTATAAGCTTTTAGCTATAATTATTTTTGTCAAGTTTGTTTAAAAATGTACAAAATACATTTGAAGTGCTTGCAAAATTTTGTAATCGATGAATTTTGGTATTTAAATTTTGCATTTTTTTAAATTCGTTATTAGCTATGATGGATTTCGCTCTGCTTGAAATTAAATCCTCAAATGAGAATTTAGTAGTGTTTATTGTACTCTGTTTTGCAACGGATATTGGAGGGCATTTGTGATTTATTCACTTATGGAAACGGCTGTGCTTCAGTTTGCTTTTTATACTGTAATTTGTATTCTGTACTGCAGGACAATTCCTGAACATAAACATATTGTGAAGTTGCGTGGTTCTGTGGTGGATCATACATATGGCGGAGGCTGTTCACCAGCTGTTCTTCTGATCATGAATCGGCTGTCACGGGATCTGTACTGTGGACTTCGATCGGGGCTCAAGTGGCTTGTTCGTCTGCAGATAGCAATTGACGTAGTGGAGGGCATCCGTTACCTTCACTCCCAAGGTCTTGTCCACAGGGACATTAAATTAAAAAATGTCTTGGTAAGTAATCTCAGCTTATAGCATGTTCCATATTGACACAGACTAAATTTAACCTTTGAACCCCATGATAATTTCATCTTTTAGTATATTTTGCCTAAGAAAAAGTAACATTTGAAAGAGGAATTATTTTGTGCCATATTCTCTAGTAATTTGTAATTAAGGAGACTAAATGATCAATTAGAAAACTGTTATCAAATGTTGCTTTTACAAAAGTGAAATGCAGATGAAGATTTTTGCTGGAGAGGAAGAAAGATTGTGTAAATTTAAAATTTTTATTAAGTAAGTACTTTATTCATATTTTTATTTATTCAGTTTTAGTGATTATAAACTACTAACTTGAGTGGGTCAAGTAATTAATGTTTTCAGGTTGGTTTTAACAGAAATTTCAACCTCGGTCTAGAACTAAACTTTGATTGCAGTTGGATTACGGCAATCGAGCCAAACTAACTGACCTCGGCTTCTGCATTCCGGAAGCTATGATGTCTGGCAGTATTGTGGGAACTCCAGTTCACATGGCTCCAGAACTGCTCTCAGGTCATTATGACAGCAGTGTGGATGTTTATGCATTTGGAATTCTCTTCTGGTATATCTGTGCTGGACATGTAAAATTACCTCTAAGATTTGAACAGTTTCAAAATAAGGAGCAGCTCTGGACTGGTGTTAAGAAAGGTGAGTGAAGATTAAACATCATTATAATTTAATTTGCATAATGTTTATACTCATGTATATTTTTGTTCTTTCCATTATTAAAAATTCATTTGAAATGCAGGTACGCGGCCAGAAAGGCTGAAATGTTTTGATGAGCAGTGCTGGCTGCTGATGCAGCAGTGCTGGTCAGCAGAGCCCCCCAAGCGTCCACTTCTTGGCTACGTACTGCCTTTATTGCAGTCCATCAATACAAAATATGCTCTCAAGGCCAGTGAAGGTAAGTTTGTTTTGGTATATTAAAATAAAGTTTACCTGAACATTAAATAACTTGGAATAAATGATGTTCAGGGTTTTGACACTCTGTAGACTCACAGGTAAATAACAGTGTTTAGAGGAACATACTTTCTCAATCTTCTGGGCCTGGAAACTGTGCATTTCTCCAAAATGTATGTGTTTATGTATGAGTCTACATGGCGTTAAAACCCAGAATAATGTCATCATCCTCACTGTCATGAAAACCTTATACCTCACAACGTGAAATAAAGAATTATTTATGTAACTATTAAAATAGTTTAACTTGGGTATCTGATATAGCCTTTGGTAATGTAGTGGCTGTTTTCCTATTCTCTGTAGAAAGAAGAAATAACACTGGGAAAATTATGATTCTAGCATCTGGTCTTGTGTAAACATTTTGACTATTTCAGTTGCTTTACTTATAAAAGATAAGGGTTAAGTTGTCCCTTTTCGTAATCAAGTGTCACACCATGGAATGTCTTATTGCCCTGATGATGGAGGCAATAAGATGTCAGTCAGTTTCTGTGACACTGAAGAGTGCAGTATCCCAGAAGACAGTCATATTCAAAAACCAAAATGTTTAATAGCAGGAATTTTGGAATACTATTATTATTTTGCGTAACTCTGTACAAGAAAACCAAAATTTTCTAAATTGTGTTGTGTGGTCTTGTAGCCAGATGCCAACATTTTTCCAAAATACTCGTAACCGCCTACAAGACAACACCGCATCAGAACGCACAAGACCATAATCAGCGTGTTTACTGCTGGAAGAATGTCACATCTCAGAAAGAAAGTCATAGTTTTGGAAAATGTGTGTTGAACCTCATGGGGAGATAAGACTTCGGTCGCTAAACCTGAGTGTTGACGCAGAGTTTTCAAATTAACAGAGGTCCAGAGAAGGGTGATTGATTAGGGCACTGCAGGAATGGTTTTACTGATAACTGTATTTTCATATTTGTGAAAGTGTGAATTGATATGAGGATCTGGTTTTCAGAACCATATAATGTTTTATATCTTATTGGATAACAGAGTATGAGTAACAGTCTGATCTGGGATGTGGAATTTATCGTCATTTTCATACATTCCTTTACAGATTGCTTCTCTGCAGAGCTGGGGCATGTTTCTTAGTGCTGATGTGTTCACTAACATGTACATCTCAGAAAGCTGTTTGCATGCATGTTTGTGAATGTTTCTCTAGTAATTTTTTAAGTGCAGATTAAATTCTGAACAGAATTGTGAAGTTGAGAAGTAAAGAACAATTTAATTTTTTATTGGCTCAACGACCTTTTATTCCAGTCTGGGTTCCTGCCATCTTGCTTTTAGTGTAAGGATCTGTAAATAAATGTTGGAGGAATGGGACATCATTCTGAATCTATTCCACTGAATTATGTCAAAATGTCTTTTATATAGAAATTATACAAACTGTGAGGAAATGTTAGTGCGTTGTTGCTCCTTTAAGGGGTCAAATTAGTTTCATTTAAGGAAGTTGAGGATTGAAAGTTTCTGTAAATATTGTATTTGAGCATTCTGGTTGTACTTTTCAGATACTGTTATGTTAGGTTTTAATTTGTGTAGTAAGTATTTTGCTTAAATGACCCTCATTTACAAAATAAAAATACAAGATGGAAGAGATGGAAAAGCAACTGTGTAAAGTAACACAATGCTAAAATAGTTTTATGAGATTTATCAAGCACTTATAATTATTCAGAGTTATTTCCTCTGCAACATCACTGAATTTTAATTGGTACTTTGTTCATTGACCACATTCTTAGAATATGTTTTATACATTCGGTCTACTTTCAGAGGACAGAAAGAAACAGGTGGAAATTTGTTTATAGTAAAACAGATTTTAAGCCATTTTATCGGATGTGTTGGGCAGCAAGCAGTTGATTATCTTGCTTTTTATCATTGTGTGTGAATAATGTAATTTTATTTCTGATCTCAGGCTGGAGTTATCAGGGCAGATTCTCTCATCTTCAAAACACCATTTTAAATGGAAATCTGTGGGACATAATTGTGTTTTAGTTCTTTGAAAGACAATACTTTTAACTGATAATATTTTTGCTTTAGCATGTCATTGGTAATTTTAATTATTCTGAATATGTTTAACTTTTTAATGTGGAAAATTGTCTTTCATTCTTGCAGTTAATAGGTTGTCATTTCATGAGTATTTGTTATATTGTTGTTTTAAGTGTTACAAGACTCTTTGAGGTAGAATATGTAATTATGCCTTTTAAATGCCACAACAGAACTGGAGTCACTTATTCCATGTAAAGTACATCATTTAATTTAATGCCAGTAGTGATAAATCTACTTTTGCATTAAAAACTTATTGTTCCCAATTTGTTCTTGTTAATGTGCAAGTAGTTGTTCTTTACTTCTTGAATTTCCAGTTTTTATGATATTTTTAAAGTTGTGTAGAATGCTCGTATTGTGAAAATAATGTGTTTGTAACAATTATTTTCTTGGAAGTTCATTACACCTTATTAACCCCTTCCATACTGCGCATGATATGTCACTTACGATCACTGGCATGTTTTGTCTGAACTTATGTTGTGTTTAAAAATTATGAGGAAAGAAATTAATCCTGCCATCTCTTAGTAGTTAAAACTGATTACATGTGGCTTTCCAACAACGGCAGTTATACACTACAGTGAAAATATACTAACAGATATGAAGGTTATTTAAATATAAATCAGTGTGGAATGGGTTAATATCTGTACCTTGGAAGTACTCTCCGAACACTTCAGTTACAGATTGTATAGGAAGGAAGGAGAAGACTATCATTATAATTATGTATGTGCAGTTTCATGTACTCGTAAAGAATGTTTGTTGCACACCTTGGCCAGCATAAACTGTGTCCTTTCCATCAGTTTCATAAGTTGGTGCAAAAATAATATTTTTACAGTCGTGCTGCAAATATTCTTAGCTTTGCATGCGTAGTTTATCCCTTCATTCATTCCCATACCATCCATAATTGTTAAGCGAAATTGCGAGTTATTGGCGGTAAAAGAGTACATATATTTATTTATTTATTTCAGCCTAGAAGCAATGATTCTGTATTTTTTTAGAGCTTGTAGAGGATTGGAAAACTAATTTGTAACCATTTTAACATGCTAAAACATAGTAAATATTAATACCAGGAATGTAAATCCACTCAAAATCAGACATACTGTGTAACTGACATATCAGTATTTGGAATGTTAACATTTCAATTTCATATTGAAATTTCTTTGTATCACAAGCCCCACAATGTAAGAAATTTTCAGAGAACTTTACTCTTGGTTTATGTAATTATGCTTTGTCATTTGCATACAGTACATGGTATCAAATGACAGGATGGTATGAGTTATTTCAGTATTATTAGTCCCATTTCCGTTTGAGTGGAATTCTTGTTGTGTATGGTGCTAATTTCTTGTTGGAGAGTGATTACAGTGTGTCACTTTTTCTGTCCTTGTGTTGTTGTATTCCTCACTTCCATTTATGAGGTGTATGTTGATGTGGTTGTTTTGTTTAGTAGCCTGTATTTTCAGATGTACTTAATCTTGTCAGTAGTGGTTTCTATGTGAAGGGTTGCACTGTGTTATAATGTACTACTCTAGCAGTTGTCTAGAGGGTACCAATTTTCAATTTCAGACAGTCTCACATGTTACTCAGTTTTCTTTGACAAAATCTGCAATTATTTACCACTGCTGTTGTTTGATTAATATTTTTATATCAGGTTTAATTTCTACTTTGTGATTCACATACACCCCTCCAATTGTTGATCAGTATGACACATCCTAATTCTTGATTTGATGTTGTTTATTAAGCTGAAGATTTTCTCACAGTAAGTGATAGGTACCTCCGAATATCGACAGCATTAACATTAGCGCGTTTTCTTATATGAAAATGTATTTTGGAAGAGGAAACCTATTAAGTGGTAAGTCATGACATTTTTCGTTTAATTTTCAATCACTCTGTAAACTGACAGTCCAGTTGAAGGTTTGTTGATGTGGTATTAATTCTCATTGAAAATGGGGAAAGAAAGATTTTTATTATAAATTTCTGTTTTCATGAAGTCATAAAATCTATCACTAAATTCTTCTTCAGTCAGAGTTGTAATACTGCTGCTTCCTATCAAGTATGCCTTGTGGCCTGTTATGGTCAGACTTTATTAGATGTCCTATTGATTATCTTCCCTTAGGTCATTATTTTAAGATTGCTTTCAGGAACCTTTCCATAGCAATTCCATCTCTAAGGCTTGTCCAGTTTTCTTGATATTATTGCATAATCCAATTCAATTTTAAGTTCTTTCATAATGTATTCATTTTTATAATCCTGTATCTTGCCAAAGTTGTAATGCATTCACTGTATTTCTCTGAATATTTTATGAAACTTTCATTTAAACTTAGTCATAGCATTAGTTGTCATTTGATCATCTGTTTGTTTGTTCCTCGGCTAATAAGAGTCCTCTCTGCCCATTGTTGGTTACTGGTTATTCTTTGCCTCACCTTTTCACTATGGCATACTTAAGGTTCCCCAGCATAGCTGTGTGGGTCATCAAGTTAACTGAGCCCTCTCCAATACATCAAAATGATACATGGGGAGGTTTCTCATTCTCTAGGCATATGTATGGATAGTTACACCATAATCATTTCCTTCCATACTGTTCCTGTTTTATTATTTGTAATCATCCTGTCATTGTATGTATGGATAGTTACACTGTAATCATTTCCTTCCATACTGTTCCTATTTTATTATTTGTAATCATCCTGTCATTCAATGTTCGATAATCTCTGCATTTAAATAAATGACTTTTTTTTTTGCATTAAAACTTGCATTGCTTCAGAATTACCAAGTTCATGTGAGTGTTAGACTACAAAAGCACCATATATGATGGTGGTGATGTTCTGGGTTGTGATGCAGTGTAAACTCATACATAGATACCAGTATTTCTGAGTTATGACACCATCTAGACTTGTAGGTGGATACATACCATTGTTTCGCTGAAAAACTTGTATGTTATTAAGAGCCTACATGACGTCACAACCCAGAAGAACAGCAGCATCATCCTCAACATCGCAAGAACCTCATATCTCAACACAGTATGTGTTCTTGAATAAAATGTTCTTGGATTCCATAAACCCTTTGACTTTGAACAGCTATCAGGGCTGAAAGCTTGGTTGTGACTTTAATTGAACTGGATTTAAAATCCATTTCTCTGCAGTTCTGTTGTTTTCCCACACAAAGTTTAAATTTGATGCCTGGAGTTAGAATTTCAAATGGAATTGTGTCTGAACTTCTACACACTGTTTGTATGTCAGTTTGGAATGTGGCAAGAATTTTTATGTGCAGGTAAGCTTGTAGGATTACAAATTGTAGTTTTATTGGTTGTGACAAAGTGATTCCTTGGTATAATTACATTGAGTGTGTTCAGATAAAGATCTTCCAAGTTTTGTAATGTAAATGAAATTTTTGGAAATTTTAATGTTGTGCAATTATTATGCATCCAATCCAGAATTCTGTCCTAATCATATAAACTATTGTATGTCTTCCATAGTACCCATACTTTCGAAGTCAGTAATGCGGTTTATTTTGGGTGCATACCCTTTGAGATGTTGGTTTGTCATGTGACAATATGTATGCTTTAGTCAAAATAATTTGTATTCAGTATTATGTAGATTATTTCTTTAAATACCGAAACACCATACCAAAAGCAGAATTGAAACTCATGATCCAAGTGGTTAAGACCCATACCCTGAACCATGTGGCCACTGTAGTCAGATATAATCTGTAGTAGTGGAAATTATGCTCAGAAATGGGTCACTAAATTTTATATTTATCAGCATCACAGTGACATGCCGATACTGCTAAAGCATCCCACAGTTAATATTCAGCTAGCAATCTTGCAGTATGTGAATTTAAACCCCCTTTTCCCATTTGATAAACATTAAGTTATAGTTCTTACTAGTTTTGCTAAATGAACAGAAGCATTTGAAGGAAAGGACATGTCAATTTCTCTGAATTACTTGTATTATAGCAGTATAAGTATTAAGAGGATGATGTATATGTATAATACAATGTATAGTTCCCTATACTGTGTGATGTAAATATTAAGATAGGACCAGATTGTGGTCTTCTGTATTGAAATACCTTGTAGTTCAAGATTGTATGGTGTCATCCTGGAAGACCACAATCCGTGTTTCATTGCTTTGAAACCCTTAAATCTCGTATACAGAGTAGGTACTTTATATATAGTTGACAAGAAAGAATGTCACTGCGAAATTTCATATTTGTGTGTTTGTATTTAAATGTTCTTTCTAGCCTTAAGTGCGTAATTTACTGCATTCAGAATTCATTATCATTTTGACATCATTCTCCATAAACCTCGGCACAATAATGCTAAGTATGGGTGAAATGATAGCTTAACTGTACTTATGACAGACGCAGCTTTTACATTTTCAGAATCTGAAAATTGTCCATTTTGATTGGTATGTATTGTATGCATGACATACTTGTGCTTGATTCTCAGTGTTGAACACAAAGAAGTGAAAATCCTGTAATATTTTTGTCTGTTATGTATCTCTAGTATACTGATACAGTAGCTTTGTAACATAATCACTCAGGCAACTTATTTTGTTATTAATATAAGCATACTAATTAATCACTTCTTTTGTGCAACCATGTGTTGAATTTTATGAGTGAAGGTTGGTAGTCAGGTGTCAGTGGAGATAGAAATCATTGTTGACGGTGTTATTCTTCTGGGTTCTGATGGCACGTGGACTCACAATTGGATACCATTATTTGTCCAAAATGTTGGTTCCCTGTCAATGAATCTACATCGTGTAGAAGCCCAGAAGAATGACAACATCAACCTCGCCTGCATATACTTATTGAACGCTGAAAGTTTTTTAGTCATTGCTATTGTAAGATCTTATATTTATAAAACTTTCTAAGCTGAAAAATTAAGATTTGCCCAATAATTATTATTCTGATTTCACAGATGCATTTGATTTTGATTAATAATAAAATGTTGTAATGGAATTGTTATGTTGTGTGTGTTTTTGGTATTTTTCCATATTATGTACAAAATATGAAAATATGAACCACAATTCAGTGTTAATGGGATTATATAGTTGCAACTTCTTTCTTATGGCTTCATTAATCCATCTCCTAAGTTGGTGCATGCATGTTCATAGTAGTTCCCATACTTTTTCTTTTGTAGCAGCCATCACTAAAATTCATGTTTCATGGTTATAACAAAGTTGTAGAGTATTGCAACACAAACATTGGAGCTCAGGCAAGTGAAGACAGCTGGGAACTCGCAGCATAAGAAAGCTAGCAAAGCTGTACTGTTGGCTTAGACTTGCACACTAAGGGGCATGAAGTCCTTCCATGACCTCGAAGCATGCAATTTGGTGATGGCTACTATAATCTAAATGTTCAATTCTTACTTGCCTGATATGGTAATTTTTCTCCTTTTCATGTTAGTAGGAGAACTATGAATTTTTTTCAAAGACCAAGAAAGAAATTGGTTTAGAAATGTGTTATAAAAACCCTAGGCCTTCTATTATTCCAACAGGGGTCAAGAAGTGTAGCCATACGGAAGTTTATGACATGGAAGACAGCCTCAGCTTCAGCTACTATTTTTCATCTTTGTAAGGTAAACCATTTAACAAGAGGAAATGTCACATTTTCAGACCTTGGCATCAATAAAACTAATACTGCTTCATAGTTGTAAGAGATAAATAGCAAGAGACTGCTCTGATCAACACAGATATTACAGAAGTATAAACTAACTAACTAGATCGCTTACCGAACCCAAAGGTTCATCCCCAAATTAACCAATGCCCTCCACCGGACCCAGGCCAACAAAATCCTTTCTCCTTCAACTCCTATCTCCCATAGATCCCACCTGACATTATCCTCCCATCTACGTCTAGGTCTCCCCAGCGGTCTCTTCCCCTCAGGCTTCCTAACCAATACCTGGTGCACACTTCTTGTCCCATCCATGTGCGCTACATGCCCCGCCCATCCTCACAGAAGTATAACTGATAATAATATACAGACTGACAAATTCATAGTGGGAATAAATACGCTGAAGAAAATGAGCTCTATCACAGGTTTGTCAATTGCAATTATCATTCTGTTCCTAAAAGGTGAAGACTATTTGCAGATTGCTGGTTCAAGCGTTTGTGTGGAATTTTATAATACCGTAACTAGCAATTAATCCAATTTATTTCCATTAGTGGTTTTATAGCAAAAGTATGACAGTTTTATTCAAAAAGGAAAGAACATTTTATATAAACCAAGTTGTAATTTGAAACGTTCAACATTATTTTATAATTAAATGCTTATGATTAGAAAAATACATTGATCTCCCCTTACAAAGTGAAATTAGTGAATTAACTTTGCTGAATGTTTCAGTGATTAGCAAGTGATTCTTAGCTCTGACCAAGCAGTACATTATCATAACCTCAGTTAATCTCTGACCAAGCTCTTGGCTGGTGTCAGAGTAAGGTAGTTTAAGTTTTTACAAAGTTATACACCAGCAGATACTCAAATAACATTGATTTTCATCTAAATAGAAGTACTGCAGCAATGTTACAAAATATACTTTTATAAATTACGTGAATGGGACTAACTCCGGTAAGACAACTTACATGTGTGATGTCCAGTGAACCCATTGATTTGTGGGTAATCATTATGTAATGCATATTGCAGATAATTTTCATCAATATGGGAATAAAGTATGAACACTTATATATTTTTTGTTTATAATATAAATATTTTGTTAATTTGAGTGATACACTGACTGTAAAAAACACATTTTATATAAAAATAAGGTAGAAAATTAAATGCTGTTTTTAAACAATGTAATGAATAAATTTGTAACATATTTTATAAAATATTCATTTTTATTTCTAATGTCAAACATCACAACTTCTTCCTGTTCTGCAGTTATATTTGTTTTGGAATTGGATCAGTTTTTTACTAAAAATAAGTGTGTAACTGGGGAAGAAAGCTTATGTGACAATTGTTTTAATACTGATTTTATCTTAATGGACTACATACATCCTCAAGCTGTTAGACTACAACACAGCTACAAGTAAAAAAGGGGGAGGAGCAGTATGTCATATGGGACTCATTTATGAAATAATTTTCTTTGTGCACAAAATGGCATGAACATCCTATAGGTTATTGAAGTATTTCTTTTGGCATTATACTTCATCAGTGAGTTAGTTACGTCTCTGATTCAAGACGTCACAACTCTTCAAATTTGGAGCCAGATGTTTTAATTTACTTTCCTCCATGATTTCTTCCCTTACTCAAGGCTATCTTGGTTATATTTTCTAGTTTATGTTAAGCTACATTGCCAAGAACTCAGACTGTGTAGTATTACATAAGATGACAGTCAAATAATGAATGGAAGTGTGTGCGTGGAAACATTCATGGGCTAATTTCAAATACTATCCCACCACTTGCCTGAAGGGTTGTGGAATATAATGAAAAAATCTGTCAGGATAGCCAATTTCTGGGCTGAGATTTGAACCTGGGAATTACAGAATACAAAGTGGTAGTGGTAACCACTCAACGATGGTCACTGTCTTGGTAGTGTAATTATTGTTATAAATAGACACTAGTGGTTCATTTGTTTAAAGATGCTGTTTCAAGTTTTCATTTCTTAGTTGGGATGAGAAGTTACAGGATTATGAACAAAGTGTAGGAAAGGATGTGCTCTACTTTAAGCATTATCATGGACACTCAGGAAAACCATGAAAAGTGTTGGTCATGACAGGTGATATCCATTTTGAGATTTATATAGGCCTACATTAGAATGTGTGCCTGGCTGTCAATAACACATCTGCAAGGCCAGTGAGGACCTATTGTCTCTCTTTATTGCTTAGCACACCTGCAAGCATTTGCATGATAGGCAGCTTGAATCATAACGATGCTATCAGCTATCATGGCTCACTATAATATGCTTTCTCAGAGATTCCAGCAAAATATTTCAATAGTAGACGTGCAATAAAATGGGTAATGGGATAGGCCTGTGCCTAGTATATGCCGGCTCAATTTTTGGCCAGGCATATGTTTTGTGTTAATGGCTAAAAATAATCACCTTGGTAGGCGCGTATAATGTGTTCTTTCAACGTTTATGAAGCGCAGCATAATTTTTCTCGTATCAAGACTTTTCATTTTATCAACCCACCCACTACAAACCGGAAGCAAGACTTCTTGCCGGAAGCTGTTGGGTTCAGGCCAGAGATAAGACACAGCAAATCAACAGTTTCCTTTCTTCACTAGATCTAAGGTCGCAAAGAAAGGCAACGGAGCAGATTTCGCCCCTCTTTCAAAATGTGTAATTAACCCTTTAAAGACCAGTGGTAACCGCATATGCCATCTGCTTTATGCATCAGTAACGCTACACTTTATATTTATAGGTTTCCCATCATTCTCACTGTAGACAGGGATTGCTTCATTAAACAGAATAAATCAATTGATCTTTGTTGGAAAAGTGTTATGTTTTCCCTGCGGTACGGACTGAATTATTAAATATTACTAACAAGATCTTGGCCTTCAAAGGGTTAACATACTAAACAAAAGACTTGACACATTTTAATTCGATACAGTTTGCATCCATTTAAATAATTTAAAAGATAGCAAGTCAATTACATTTAATTTTTTCGCACCAACACATCACAAAACAAGAAACGTACAATATCTGATTCACATCTAAATTAATTATATGTTCACATAATTTAGTCCTGTCAGTTTCGAAGAGAATATAACTGCGATGTTACACCAATTGTGATTTCCATTTTCTGCACATTTATAGGCCTAATAATCTTTGGTTGTGAGGACATTTTCATGTGTTGCAAAAATGAATTGTCCATGCATACCCTTTTCTTCTTGGTCTAGTTTAAAAATTGGAAGAAAAAAAATACACAAGTAAGGGTGAGGTATTGTAACCTCGAAAAAACTGTACGTTTTATTGTGAGTGAAAGTTGTTGCTTTATTAAATATATTCTTGAAAAAAGAGAGTTATGCAAAAGGGAACAGTAATCGTGCATTTGTAATATATCTGAGGAGTGCATCGCAGTTGCAACTGCAACTGAACAATTAAACGAAGGCGCCGTTCCGTTCTCCGAACCGACTCCCTATGGTCATTCCCAGTTTGTACGGTTTATGTAGTGAACGTTACATACTCATAGTTACATAATTGTTGGTAGACATTGAACTGCACTCGGTCATTGCCTGACCAGCAAAGCTTTCCAGTTTCAAACAACTTCATTTCTGTGGCGCTGCAAGTGGGGAGTGAGTGTGATGCTGTTAACAGCACTGAAGATACCATAACTCCAACTTTCAGTCCTCATGCGAGTTTGACGGAAGTGGCAAGTGCGTGTGTTGTGGAGTTGTTAAGGTAAGTTTGTGTGTTTTGTCACAGTAATTCAGTTTTCATACAGTTGTTTTCAACACGATTATTGTACTTTAACAGTCTGTTGTTACTTTTAAACTCCTGTGTCAAAGTTTATAATATTTAACGACTGGCACTACATCAAAGGTTCTACATTGTGTGTGTGGGATGATCTTGAGGGTGGGATGGGAAATTAAAAAAAAAGCGTGGGAAAATTCAAAATGCCAATGTGAACATGTCACATAATATTTTTGTATTTTATTGTTATGTGCGATAGCTCTTATGGAGCAGGGAACATTTCACTCTCGTACCGTAAGAATTATTGCTAGGGGAGTTTTTTTTTTACACGTTTGAGACGATTACTCTCAGATGATGTTAAGACACTTTGTAACAATGATTGATGTCCTGTTGCTTGTGTTCTGTCCAGTGTTGTCTTCTCATCAGTAAGTCATGAATCCTGCAGGTGATCGAATTTGAATGAAATTTGAGACCTTGCCAAAATGTAATTGTTGAATTACATTTCCATTATCGTTGGAGAACAACGTTTAGCAATGTAAAAATCTTTGAAATCTACTTTATTTTTCCCACTGTATGCATGGGGTACTTTAATCCAAAGACATTTTAGGATCCGTGGTAGCAGTCATTGTAGTGTCTAGAATACGGATTAAATGACGAGGGTTCGATTCCCGGCAAAGGCAGAGACGTAATAATAATAATAACCTCCCTCTGAGAGCCAAAGCCTCACGTTCACATGCCTAAGCAGAGGTGAACGATCATCCAACCAGATACAGGGTGACGTGTGGTCAACACGACGAACCCCCAGCCACTGGTAGTTTTCAAGTTATGACACCGTTAATTAATGATTGCGGTGAAATGAGGTGAGTGGCTCATTCATCAACCAGGTACAACACCCCATAAGACAGCCATCTTCAAATCTTTTTAGCCACTGAATGTAAACTTAAGTCCTTAACATTTGGACAAGCCGTTTCATTGTCTTGTTCCATACACTAGATGCTGGGGGCAATGAACCATTATGAGGCCACACTGCTCGTTTACACATCCAGTAATTCACAATAAAATCTGCAGCTTCTAAATTTCGGCCATGAAAATTAATGGACCGTCGTTACGTCCGGAAAGGAACGTCAACAAAACACCTCAATCATTCTTAGTTTTTGGCAATTCCGTTAGAATAGGGGTGTTGTGGGTTCGAATCTCGCCGGCAGAATTAATGTTTGTTTCGTTGTGGTCTCTCTCAGGATCTTTCATACGCAAAAAACGTTTACGAACTCCGTCCTTTAACGAGCTGTCTGTTGACTGTATAGATTGATTTCCAAAAAAATAAACGAAGCACCTCTGAAACGTCGGTAAACTTCTACCAGACTACTCGCCATCGTGAGAACCTGAAAATTCACCTAGAGCATTCAAATCCACGATCGGAATCTTACGCACAGTATACTTTGTAAATACGATAATACAACGTTGGGAAATTTTTGCAGTAGAAGGATAAGTTGTGGGAGAAAATTGATATTTAGTCAAGTATGAGAGTCCAGAATGGAACGGCCTGTGTCGAAGACTGCATATGCAGTCTCATCCATCTCGTGTCCTGCGATTACCAGGAATGCTTAAAGAGGATTGCAGGTGGATGAAACGTGAACTCACCATTTCTTGTAGTTCCGAAGCCTGAGACTTCTTGGAATTCTGCCCCTGCACCCCAAGATATGCCTCTATGGCGGTGTTACGTAGATTTTTTCGGCCGCGACACACCACAGCATTTTGCCTCACGAAAATGGGGTATACATAATTATGCAAGGTCATAAATACATCTCTACATACGAAAACAAAACCTAGCACATGTTGAACAAAGCTAAGCTGTGTTACGAATTACAATCACGAAAGACAAGGATTTTTTTTTCCTTGTTCTAAATGCAACGTGAGATTATTCGATTTCTTATAAAAATTCGCGGAACGCAGGTTATGTACGTCGATGCTCGAAGCGGAAATCGAACCCGATATCCCAGTGTTCTGTCTTTCGAAGATCACGCCGTGCAACGATTTGTATCCTCATAATTTCATAACAGCCGGTTGTATTGTGTTGGGGCACAGCGTTTTTGTTGTCAGTCGTGCAGAAGCTTTGCCCCAGCGAGACTTTGGATATGCTCCCCCGCGCATGCGCCGAATGGAAGGACCATTGACCCAGATATCTTACACATTTCATGGAAATTAATACAAAAACAGACGATGTTGTTCTTCCGGGTTTTGACGTCGTGAAGAAATTTTCCGAGACGTTGGCATCTGCCCGCGAGTCTACACGGAGTCAAATCCCGGAAGAAATGTCATCCTCACCGCCTCAAATCTCCAATACAAAACAGCATTACGCATACCAGAAGGCCGAATCGGTGTCTGAAGACTGATGCATTTTGATAGGTATTGAGCGACGTTTCAGATGATGAAGGCAATAAGCTCTTCTGAAACGTCTGTCAGTATTTGCTAGGCTACACGGTGCAACATCCCAGAAGACAGCCGTGTTCATCCTCGTCACGAGAACCTCAAATCTCAAATTTAACGCCGGCTGCCAAAATGCACCGAACACGAGATGTAGTTTTCGAAGATAATTTCTGGAATGTTCTAGAAGAGTTGACTTGGTTTAATCCGCGGGTCTTATGGATCGAATCCAGTTCCCCTGTTGACGCCGACTGAACAGAAAGGAAGTCGTCGACTGCCGCTCCGGTGACGAGAAGCCGATTTGCTGGAAGTACCCCCAGTCATGGTACCAGAGCCCAGGAAGCTGCTCGCCTTCCTTATCTTCGTATCGTGGGCGGGTAAGTGATCGCATTGATATTATGTTCTTGTCTGTCGAGTCAAATATTTTTAGAAATTCTTCTTGCTCTAGCGTCAGCGAAGAACATCCTCTGGACCCATCCACGTCTGTCTGTCGCCTTTTCAGTCAACTGCGTGTACTCTTGTTGGATCTCGTTACTGCAACAACGACCTATGCCACTTTCGCCTTTGATATGTTTGTATTTGTTATTTCCTTGGTTATTATTACCCACCCTGATGATGTCATCGCTCGTGATGTGGACTTCAGTGTACTCCAAAGAGGACACGTTTCCAAACTTGTTTTAAGTCGTTCTTTCAGTTTTGTCGCTGTCTTTTGAGTTGTAGCGCCGTGTAGTCTGGTGTAAGTTCATCAACATTTCAGAGGTCCGCGCTGCCTCCATCGTCAGGGCGGTTCCACCTCTGAAATGTTGGCAAAAGTCAACCCAGAAGTCAGCCATCTCTGGACTGACGCCGTGAAGACCTCAGATCCTATTTTAATGACAATTGACACAGGAACATGCAATGGACATTCGGGTTCTGTAAATGCGGAGAATTTCTTGACTAAGATGAAAGTACTGTTAGCCTCAGAAGACCGGCTGAGAAGTGCGTTTGGGTAGTTTAGTAGTCTCTCGAATTTGTTCTGACTTGGTTAAGTTTTTTTTTCATTCAGAACTACATCGCGCGAAGGATAAAAACTTATTTTGCACAGAGTATTACCCTGGGTGGAAGGGTCGTGGAGAACATCACAAGACTAGCCAAGAGAGAGAGATAGGCTCTGGGACCCTCAAATTTCAGGCCTGAAGATAGAGGCAGTATGTTCCTCCGAATCGTTGGCGTCTGCCTGGAAGTTCACACGGCGTTACAACCCAAAACCCCCCACAAAGACATTGTAGTACGTTGGATGTGGACTCCTCAGCCTCGATGCAGACTCGAAGTTGTCGGTAAAATCTGGCGCCCAGATGCGAGTCGGCGGGAGTTGTTACGTACAAAGTGTTCTAACGCCTTTGCCCTGGATGTGGGAATGTTAACACGCAACGGGCGTGTTGCGAAACAAGAAAAGAAAAACGAAAGAGTCGGACCAGATGCTTGTTCCCCATTTAGACATTAGGTCAAACGTAGAATTCATATGTGAGTGCCGCACACAAATTATCAAGCCTCTGTTTGCTACGACAGGAGCCACAGAATTTATAAAATTGTGTCTTCATGGCGGAATGTCCAAGTCTCCTCTGAAAGTTAGCCGTGCTTGCGTAGAAGTGTAAGTGACTCCATGGAGCAGAGTCTTTGTTTAGAACCTGATTGTACCCTCACGTATTCAAGAAATTCCTCTCCTTTCATGGAACCCGAAGGTTACGGCGCACACAAGAGGCCGCTCGAATTTAGTTCATAATCTTTAACCCTATTTCCACAAAACCCCTTTAATATTATCCCCCCATCTCCGACTGGTTTATTCCCTTCCCGCTTTCCAACCAGAATTTCGAACCCATTTATCATCTCCTCCCCCATGCGTGCTACATACTCCGCTCATCTTGTCCTCCTTGGTGGAGAGTTCAAGTATGGAACGTGTCGACGCGCAGTTTTCTCGAGCATCCTCTTACTTCGACCCTCGTGGGTCCAAATATTCTCCTCAACAACCTGTTGGGAGATCGACGTCAGCGCCGTGTGAATTTACGTATCGTGATAGATTATTAAAAGATTATGCAGAATTTGCTCACGTTTTTTAGAACATAAATAACAGATGTCGTGACCTCGCAAAATAATTAATTATCTGAACCTGATGCAGTTAAAAATAATAGGATATTTAAAAATATAATTGTCGCCCCAAAATACAACGCGTCTCGTGAGGTTGTAACCGCGATGGAGATGTTGTTCTGGCTTGTAGCGTCTTTTAGACTCGAAAGTGGATGAAGACGTTGGCGTCTGTCTTCGACCTGGCACGGCGTTAATAGACTCATAACTACAAAGATCAGTTTTTAATGCTGTTTGTCGAAATAGTCGCTGAGTGTTCTGAGAAAACCATGCACTCCGTGGGAGAAATGCAGAGTGTTAAAGGATGTGTCCAAAGGCTTGTTGCCTTCAGAGCACTGTCTGCTGGCAGGGAGAAGGGAATGACGGAGGCCAGAAGTCCGCAGAGGGCCAAGACAGAGACGCCAGTGTAAAAGCTTTAACAGCGGGGAGAAAGGATGACCACCCACCAAGTCTTGTGCTGCAGTCTGCAAAACAGCTTCTCCGAATGTGGATGCTGTCACAACCCTGGGGAAACCTCAGGACGTCAGCTGTGACACTTCTCAACCGCTCGTTTGTGTGTGTGGAGGCTCGAAAAGTCGACCCTGTTTTCTCAGCATAACTTTAATTCCTCCAGTTTTTTTTACCAAATTATCAACATATATGTCGTAATGCTTTAAAAAGAAAGCTCATTCACGAATTGGGTTACTAATTCATGTCTTGTGTTGAAGAGACACCGAATGTCAGTGTCACAAGAAAATAAAAGTTTTAGCACCCCTG